TGTAGAGCGCCACCCTTCACTGGGAGAAACCAACCGACGTCTACCCCGGCACACTCTGAATATCGGTCATTCAAACGTTCGCTCTATCGTACCGAAGCTTAATGAAATCAATCAACTGTTAACGCAACAAGATTTGGACGTTTTATGCGTGACGGAAACATGGCTCTCAAAACCCGTTCAGAGCAGAATCTTAGCTTTCCCCGGATATCAGGTCATAAGAAGAGATCGGCTATCCCAACCCGAAACGGGGCAGAGAGGTACTGCTCGTGGAGGTGGTGTGGCTATCATACATCGTGAGGAGCTGACTACTAGTGTTCTGCCAATCCCTGCAGCCGGGCCTTGCGAGACTCTCTGGCTCAGCATCAGCGGCAGGGGTCTTCGCTCGGTCACAGTCGGCGTGGTGTACCGAGCACCATCCACATCGGTGGCCAGCGCTGTCGACGACCTCCTAGATCAGCTAAAACACGCGCTCGGCTACGGAAAGCCAGTTTTTTGCTTGGGCGACACAAATATAAATTTATTGCAACATGACGCTCCTGGAGTACGTCAGTACAAAGCCGCCTTGAACGAACTGGGTCTAACTCAACTAGTCACCGAGCCAACACATCTAGAACCCTCTACTTCACTCATCGATCACATCATCAGCAATGTTCCGGATCAAAACGCTTCAGTCCTAACATCATCTGACCAAATCGCCGATCACCTCACCATCATCGTTCGAGCACAGCTCCGTCGTCAGAGCCGTCGGCCGTCCCCGTTCAAGGCACGTCCCTGGCGGAAAGTGAATTGGGATGCCGTTTGCCTATCTTTGCTACTATCAGACTGGGGTGAAATGTACAGCGCGGATAGCGTGGACAAGAAATTAGCCGCTTTTCTAAATCTGTGGTGGAAGGTTGTGGACACTCACTGCCCCCTAAAAACTGTAACCCCTCGTCGACCACGGTGCCCCTGGATAGAGGATAATGAAGAGCTTAAACAACTCATGCGTGAAAGAGATACGGCTTTCCGTACATGGCAACGTTCTCGATCCGTCGATGATAGAGATGTGTACCGGAGATTGCGGAACCTTGTGAAAGGGCATCTATTAAAAAGTAAACGCGACTTTTTGTCAGCTCACTTGTTATCTGATCGACGATCTTTTTGGCGCAACATATCTGAATTTGCGGTGCGTCCTGCGTGTGGGGGCAAAAAAGGCATATGTGGGATGCCGACAGAACAGGCAGATGAGTTCAATCGTCATTTCGCCACCGTCGGATCGAAAATTGCTGCGGAGCTGGCCGTCAGCGGTCCCTCTCGGCTCCCGCCAAGGCCGCCGCGTGTGACGTCAGCGGGTCTGCGCCTGAAGCCGGCTACACTATCCGAACTGTCTTTGGCGTTGCGAAAGTTGTCTGCATCTAGAGCAGTGGGGCATGACGGTGTGCCACTACACGCAATCAGAGCATGTTTTCCTGTGATTGGTCCACACTTGCTGCATATCGTGAATGCATCGATAATATCATGTCATTTTCCATTATCATGGAAACTCGCGACCGTCGTACCACTTCATAAGTCCGGCGACATAGATAACCCGAGTAATTTCCGGCCCATCTCTCTCCTGTCGGTGCTCTCGAAGTTATGTGAAAAAGTTGTTTGTATGCAGCTGTCGTCCTTTCTTGCTACTAATCACCTGTTGGTCAATTCGCAATATGCATATAGAGCTGCTCACTCGACGGAGGATGCTTTGACCGATGCTGTCGAGTGGATGACGCGGCGCATCGACGAGGGTGACATCGTAGCTGTAACTTCAATTGACTTGAGCCGCGCTTTTGATAGCGTTGATCACGACGTCCTCCTTACGAAACTCTGCTGGTATGGAATAGATCCGAATTGGTTCCGAAGCTACCTGTCTGGTCGGCAACAGGTAGTGAGAGGCGGGTCTCTATCTTTGCCTCTGTCTCACGGTGTTCCACAGGGCTCCTTAGTTGGTCCCATCCTCTTCAGCATCTTCACAAATGATCTTCCAGCATATGTTCCCCACGGACGCTTGGTTTCTTATGCCGACGATACACAGTTACTAGATTCCACCGACCCCGCATCTCTGTCTACCCTAAAAGCGAGACAGGAGGAAAGCCTCAGTGCTGTTCTCAACTACTTCACGTCAAACTCTTTGAAAATGAACCCATCGAAGACTAGCCTTCTCATTTCTAGCACCCCCCAGAACCTGAAGAAAGCCTCAGCTTTCCATTTAAACCTACCGGGACATGTACTCAAGCCATCTTCTCAAGTGAAGATGCTAGGTGTAACCATTGATCCCAGCCTATCCTGGGAAAAGCACATTTCCAGTGTCGCCAAAAAATGCAATGCCGTCCTTATTTCTCTCTACAAAATTCGACATCACCTCTCAGCTGATGTTTTGAAACTTCTCATTCAATGTCATGTCTTCCCCCACATCATTTACTGCCTCTCAGTCTGGGGCGGGGCTGTAGGTTGTCACCTCAAGCGGGTGCAGAAAGTCATTAATTTCGCAGCTAGAATCGTATCTGGGGCGAAACACCGTGATCACATTTCCCCCGTGTTGTCTGCACTGGGCTGGCCCAAAATCACGGATTTAGTCACCTATCGCGACAACATTCGTGTTTTCAGAGCGCTGAAGGACCCGCTCGCTCCCGCGGCATTACGCACTTTGTTCACAACACGGGCGGCTGTGTCTGCGCGCGCCACACGCTCCACGCTGTCGGGTGCATTAGAGTTACCAAATTATCGCTTATCAATGTCGAGACGAGCTTTTTCCTACCGAGCGGCAACCTCCTGGAACCACCTCCCACCCACCACCACTAGCTCTGGAACACACGCTGAGTTTCTTCGCCACCTTGCTGCCTAGCGCTTTTGCCTTCTGTCATATCCGTGAAAATTGTGACGCGCTGGCTGCTCTGCACTCATCAGTCTACTGCGGCAGTGTTTGTGCATGTGTGCGTGTACGTGTGTGTGTGGGGGGGGGGGACGGGGTAGGTGTACCATGTCTTTTGTGTGTGTGATCGAATCAAATACTAAACCATGCAATGGAATGATTCGAAATACATTGAACTTGTACATTGAACTTGAACCGAGTAAAACGCATTTTGTCGAAAATCAGCGATACGGCGTCAGTTGTCTAGTACATATGTTGCTATTAGAGGTCACTGGTCATACCAGGTCAGGTCACAGGTCAGGTCACCAAAGGTCACCAAGGGTCACCACATGAACCCAACTTTACTAAGGTTGTGCGATGCATGTTTTATGGCTAGTTTTTCATTTCCAGCTCAATGGTATTGGTTATAAGACCATCAGGTACGGTTTAGGTCACTTTCTGGTGGAGGTCAGGTCAAGGTCAGGTCAAAAAAGGTCAAATTTCAAAGTTGATATTTTTGCATAAAATGGGTACTGATTCGATGCAACTCGTCACGGGGAGTCTAATGGTGGTCTTTGTTTTGCGCTACGAGGTCTAGAATTGCTACAAATTGAGTTTGAAAATTTGACGTCATCAATTTTGAACAGTTTTTTCGCTATAACCTGGCCAAAAAAGAGGTATTGATCTCAAATTTGGTATGTAGATAGAAGGCGGTAGGGACTATCACATATATTCCGGTTTTTTCGAAATTCAAAAAACTTTTTGGATTTTTCGGCTATTATTTTCAAAAAATCTATTTTTTTATTTTTGGGGGTCAAAATCCAAAAAATTCGAAAAACCGAAATATTAGTTTTGTAGCCCTCTTGATTCCACACCTTATATGTCAGAAACATTTTTCTGTATCTCTAAAGCTGTAGGCCTGACAGCTCTTCCCGCGAAACCTTTTTTGGGTCGAAAATTGCAAAAATGACGTCACTCTGACGTCATTAGCGGCCAACCTATCATAGCCTTTGGAAAATTTTTTGGTCACCATGTGCGCTAGCTACTCCCGGGAGGGTACTGAAAGTTTGGTAACGATCGGCGCAGCGGTTCTCGAGATATATCGAAAAAACTAAAGGGGGGGGGGGCAAAAAAATGCCCCCCACCGCCTGGTAGGATAAGGAAGTTATTGCTGGCGCTTCTTGGCCTCTCATTGGTCCAACGAATAGACCACTTGAATTCGACCGATGAGGGGCCAAGAAGTAGCAGCATGCTCGCAGCTTGCTGATAAATAAACGGGGGACGAACAGAGCTCTGACCTTTTTGTGATCTTGACCTGAGGTCAATTTAAAAAATTGCCTTTCAGGTCAATTTATAGCTCATTCGACGCGTCTCGACGAGAGAAACGCGATTACGGTAAAATCAAGGTAACACAAGCTTGGTGTCAAAAGGAATTGCAGAAAAAAACGTTTTCTGTAAAAACGTCAAACTGAGTTTTCGCCCTCTGGTAACTAGCTCAACCGTTGATCTAACGAATGCGGCTTTCCGCGGCACTGTAGCTCTTTTGGTTTCCGACTTATGCGCCGATTTGTGAAAGGTTGTCAAAATCGGAACCAGAATTCGTGATAATTTTACTTTTGGTGACATCCAGTGATCTCAGCGATGACCTGATCGAAAAATGACGTTCATGATTCTGAAAGATCTCATAACGAGCCAGGCACGTAGCCAGGATTTCGCTCAGGGAGAGGCCACAGGTCGCGGACTGGTGTCGCACCCCCTCCAAAAAGGAACCTCCTCGAATTTGGCCCACTACCTATTTTTGGGGGTGTGGTGCAGCTGTTCTTATTTATTTTTATCTTTTATTGAATTTTAGTTTTTTTCGCCTTCAGGGGGCATGGCCCCCTTGCCCCCCTTGACTACGTCCCTGTAACGAGCTGTATATATTGTTATAGACATAGTTAGCTATGTCCATGTTTTCGAGTCTTCCTAGCTTTCCTACTTTCCGAGATAACCTGCTGTGGCGAAATATGTGCCCTCCCCTCCCCCCTCTCACAATGTCGAAGTTGGCTGAGAGGCCGATCCGGGAGCGTGTTAGTATCTAATGATTGATATTCATAGTGAATAATATCTATGCATTATCAATCAGCATCAAACATTGTTTTTGACAGGTGTATTTCAATCAAAATCATGTTTGACCGGCTTGGTTTGATAATGACTGGTCACTGGATGTAGAAACACAACGTTGAATCATCACGAATCATCATACATAGCCGTCATTTATTCGTTTCATGAGCAATGTTGAATCGATTTGGAATCGATTTACGGATTCATGAGCCATTCACGTGCCTCTGGTGCGAGTGCAACCGCTCTTCAGTACGTTTCAGGGAATCCAAATGCCTTACAAATCTTCTCCAAAAGCTCTTTCTTCTCATTCTCGGGCAGGAAACATGCTTTGGCCGCATGGAAGTTCTGAAAGAGAAAAGAGCGTTTTTAACGTCCCATAGCCGACTCGAAGGACAATATCCCCTGTTGGATGGGGAAATTCGCCTCATGCTAAGCTCAACAGTCGCAACAGCCTTTCTAAAACCTTCCTTAATCAAACTTCTATGCTCCCGGTCCAGGCTGAAGGAGAGCTTACCCAGGCAACCGATGATAGCAACTCCTCCAAGTAACCTTATCCTAGCCGGAGTGACAGACAGTTAAAAGGACGGCTAGATATTGCAAAGTAGGTATATTTATGGTGGCCGATACTGAGAAAGTAGGGCTAGAAATAAGTCAACAGTAAGCGCAAGCCATTGAACATCCCGCTCACTGTTGGCTGTTTTGTGGCTGAAATCCAGCTCACCATGGTAGCAAACATGGCCTCGTTGAAGCCCATTCGGCGCATCAGCGAATACTCGCTGTCCATATTCCCCTGGATCACGGTCGGGTCGTCCACGTTCACCGAGAAACTGACGCCGTCTTCGTAGAATCTGCCATCAATCCAAAGATCGACAAGTTAAAGTTATACACAGCACAGTAGCTGAACCAGCATGCTGAGCCTTCACGAAGTATAACAGATTGTTTATTGAAAATGAATCGAATGAAGTGAAATACAAGTGGGCTGATAAGTGACAGAGAAAAAACTTTAAACGATAGCATAGAAATACTATATGTTATTGATGAGACGTTTTTCATTGATCATAAAATGTCTCATGCGGTTATTTCATAATAACAGTGATCCTGACATTTTTAAATAGGTAATACGTAGCCAATAAAAGCCAACAATAAAACTATAACAAAAAATCACCAACGAACCGAAACAATGGACTCGCCTTTGAACAGGGTGTTTGGTCTGTGTGAGCGGTACCGAGCCCGTCAGGTGGCTGGAGGAGGGGCAGCACTCGAAGTGGACGCGTTCCTTGATACAGCGTTTATACAGCTCCTTATCCTCCAGCACGTGGTAGCCGTGACCGATCCGCTCGGCGTGCATCTTATCGAGCGCCTGTACACGCATAAAGCAATAAAGAGCGTTATGGTATGGTATTTTAGTTCATAGTTACTGGATATATGCTCATTAGAAGGATAAAGAATTGCTCATTTCTGATAGAAATGAGCAACAGGATGTATGTTCGACCAAACTCGCTTGAAATTTTAAAACAGCAGTTCATTGAGGGAAGCGGAATGCGCAACGAGAACAAACGAGGCCTACATTCTTTTCACTTTTTTAGAACGATATAAATGCCTTCGGTTACCACTGCGGATAATACAACTCGTGCGGCATCAACTATCAGTCACTTCACTGAGGTTTGAATGCCTCTATACCAGTGGTCGGCAGGTCATTCGGGGTTGTGCCCCCTTTTTAGGCGCCAGGCAGGGCCATTACCCCCCACCTTTCAGACCCCATTGCTGACACAACCAAGTTTACTGAAATTCCATACCTTTCTGGAACTCTTTGGGTATTTCTGCATTTCCGATGCATCAAATTTAAAACATGACATTTCGTCCACAAAACATTTAATGTATCTCATTTAACCCTCGTACATATAGGGGCGGCGGGTGGTTTTTCATTAAAAGCTCACGTAAAAGCCGTTGGATCACGACCAAATTGTACCCTCGAGCCAATCATTTTTTTTCTTTACCTGCCCGGGAAAACCTGAGGCCAGTTTTACCAACAGAAAAATAGCCGCCTGCCGGAGTTTTTGCCTAAAAACCACTGCATACGATGAGCATGCGCTTCACATACGATGAGTAAGCGCGATGAGCATGTAAGTGGATAGGGCTTTACCGCTTACCGTATTTACGCTTTACCGTAGGTTAAGCGGTCTTTAGGCGAAAAATTCCGGCAGGCGGCTATTTTTCTGTCGGTAAAGTGGCCTCTGGACCGATATTGATCATGATTGGCTAATGAGCTTTTTCTGGAGATCATCTTGAGCCATAAAATCTCACTTCAAGAAGTCATAGCGGGTCCCGATTTTCTCGACACTTGTCTTTGACCTCCTGAATGAGACGAAATGACCAAGGACCTTAGAAATGGGCAGCAGCGGCTTCCTATAGTCACGGGTAATACGCTCGTTTTTTATGCACAGCTCCATCTCAGAGTCCGAGAGGCCGCGGGGGTCCGATCGACTCATCCCCCTTACGTTAGCGGCTGTGGAAACGCCAACAGACGGGCGAAGATTAAAAATTGCAGCTGCTTTTGTACGAGGGGTGTTCAAAAAGTTCCCGGCCCAACCATGAAGGAGTTGGAATTTCGGCCTGCAACGCGGTGTGTTCAATGATGTGCTATTGGGATGTCCACTTACGTAGCCATTAGCCAATCTGCCCTGTGATTGGTTCAGGCTGCTAATTAATCGTAACATAGTTTGCCATTCCCGGTCAGAATGGGCGACGCCCAGAAGAGAACAGTGATTTGGTTCATGTGTTGCAGAAAAATGCACCAAACGTTATTCACGAAAAGCTAGTGCCAACACATGTTGAGGTTTGTCTTTCTTACAGTAGCGTCAAAAAGTGGTTATCTCTGTTCAATTTTGGTCAACAGATCATTAATGGTCACTCCCACACTGGGCAGCCATCAACAGCATTGACTCAAGAAAATATGAAAAATAAACACTTCTTTGTGAAAAATGACAAATGTTCTGGTCTGGAACAACGCAGCAGAAGCGGAGGTGTCTATCAGGTTCCTCAAAGCCATTCTTCGATAGCGTATTAATATGTTTAAGATCTCTGCAAGATGCATCCCCCGTTTGCTGACTCCAGAGGAAAGGCAAACTCGAAAGGAGGCGTAACGCGAAAATTTTGGCCCCTATATCGAAGATCTAAAAGAGTTCATTGAACTACTTGTTACCGTGGAGGGATTGTGGGTGTCACACGTTGACCCTAAGGGCGTGACCGAGTTGCACAAGTGGAAGCACACTGAGTAAAGGCCACCAAATGTGTGCGACGTGTTAAGTCAGACGGCAAGGTGACAGTGGTTGCATTTTGGGATGCTGGCGGGGCTCTGCTCGTCAACTTTCCAAAACAGGGGCGCACAATTAATGATGAATACTACACCTCCCTTCGATAACAGTAGCGAGCAGCATATATCAAGGAGAGACTAGGGAAGCTAACTAAAAGTGTGCGCCTGATCCAGGACCACGCACCAGCACACATGAGCAGGGTGACGATCAGCGAAGCAGTGAGCTGTGGCCTCGAGTTGTTGTCACAGCCACTTTTTTATCCGTACCTTGCACCCTCAGGTTGTCACCTCTTCCCCAACACAAGGAAATTGCTTAGCAGTGGCAACTTCGCTGACAGCAAGGAGACAAAAGCAGCCGTCTTGGACGTGCCAGATGCGTTCAAAACCCACTTGGCTGTGGAGACCCAGGGGCCTCTCGCGAAGCGCTGCGCGAAATGTTTTTGTCTTAACGCTGGTTATTTGACTAAATGAACATTTTTGGTCTAATAAGTCGACGTCGTATCTCTACTCCTTCATGGTCGGGCCGAGAACTTTTTGAACGCCCCTCGTACGACTGTACGGAGCCGCGGTGAGATGGTGAGGCGAGCAGCTACGTGAAAATTGGTATCTAATCAATGTGTGCTGTGCCTTTGACCTGGGCTAATCTTTGAACCCTGGGATGCAACAGTCACGATGGTTCCATCAATGGAGCCACTAACTCTAAAAAGATAAGTTTTCTCAGAATCCCTCATTACCCCCACCGAAAGGGCTCCATTACCCCCAAAGGGGGCATGCCCCACCATTTGCCGACCCCTGCTCTATACTGATCAGCTATAGCGCGGTACATATGTACCGGGGTGTCGCACTCACTATTTGCACCATGTAGGCGGGGCCCGCCTCCCCTGAATGCACGGTGCGGTGGATCCCGCGGCGGGCCGCCTCCTGGAACAGTGCAATCTCCCTCTGCAGTAGCTGCTCAGAACTGTGCACTGTCGACATGTCACTGTCACAGGTCAGAGAACCAAGCAGGAGCTGCATCTCAAACCATCGGCGTTACAGAGGTCTTACCAATGTTATCAAACCAAAAGTCCATTTCGTCAGAATATGTGAGGATGGATAATACATAAAAATATTTCAACACCTGTTTGAGGCATAAGAATCCCGTTATAACTCATGAAGTGCAGTGGCGCTAGGAGATCTGTCGGGCCACTCACTGTCGCCATCTTCGGTCGTGGCGGTTGCCTCGTCTCCCGAAATGTCCATTCCGACCACTCCCTTGTCCCAGAACTCAGTGCACATCTCCAAGACGTCGTCGTAGTATTCTGAAAACGGCAGACGGTGTTACGCATTGAACTCTGATCGCGCACGTAAGTCGCAAGACGACCGCTGAGCCGACAGTCGAATGTGATCTCTATACCTTAACTACTATCGTTCTGGAGAAGGCACGTCTACTAAACGGGCGCCACCACTATTGGGTTCTCAAGCGATAATTCAACTGCCATTGCCATTTTTGTGGACATTCTATTACGCGAGGTCGATCAGAGAGATGAGTGCTCCACACTGACCGGAAAACCCGCGGACGCAGCAGAGCAGGAGGCGGGCGGTGACGCCGAACTGTTGCTGACCGCGCGCCAGGCCGCGCAGCACCGCCTCCGTCACCTGGCGGGCCGTCACCTGGCCGCCGGCGCCCACCAGCAGGTGCGGGCTGAACCGCGGCTCCGTGTACAGCACCGCGCTACCAGCCTCGTCCTCGACAAACTCGAACGCCACGCGCTCCATCGCGGCCAGGTCCCCCCTGCGGCGGTATACTCGGGGGCAGATTGATGTTCCACCACTCCCTACCCATCGGGCTCCCATGGCTCAGCACTGGCTGCTGCCAGTGGCAGCACTGGCAGCACTGGCACTGGCAGGCAGTGCTGAGCAGTGCTGAGGGCAGGCAACACTGGAAGCAGCCAGTGCTGAGCCATGGGATCGCCCGATGGGTAGGGAGTGGTGGAACATCAATCTGCCCCCGAGTGTACATGATTTCGAGTGATTTTGTGAAATCGTCTGATGCAATTTGGCGATACTAGTTGCTTAGACGACTCAAGTGCGTTTAATTATTTTTGAATGAGACCTCAGACAGTGCATGTCCCGAAACACAGCCGTGTTTCCTTAGCTGCTACATATGTGCTAATTTGTGCTTATTGTTTAGTGAGAAACCTGACATTTTTAATTTGACATATTAGACACAGAAATCTGACATGGGTAGGTATACCCACTAAAAATGTAAGGTTTCGGACTAATCTATATCTATTATCTAATCTATATATTTGCGTAAAAGACCGAACATAAAAAGGGTGGCCTTTTACAACAATACTGAAACCACACACCACCATATAGTTCGACTTACATGCACCCTCCGGTTCCCGTTCACATGATTAAAAACTATTCTAATTTCCCTGTTCTCCAATAATACCTAGGAAAGCATTGATCAGTTGACAGTTATCATCGTACATGACTGCTGGGCAGATCCATTTGAATCTGGCTAGGTAGTTTGCCAAGTCCACCGGCGAGCGAATTTTCATAGTCTCTTCGAGCTCCCTCAGGCTTCCATTTCCAGGCAGCGGTAAATTCTTCTGTCTGAAAACGTCAACCGTAACGATCAGAAATGTACTGTAATTGTAAGCACTATCATTTGCATGGGACATGCCGTTCAAATCGTTGTAATTGCAGGCATATGCCATAGTGAGCAGATATAGTATATAGATAATACAGATGGCCCAGAGACGTGTGGATGTTGTTTAGAGAGACACTGACCTGCTCAGCTCCCAGATGGTGGAGGGGCGGATGGCGCCATCCAGGTGAATGTGGAGGTGCACCTGTAGAGAACGCACCGACGCGACGGTCGGATTAGGGGGTGTAGGTATTACCGTATTAGGTCACTGGCAATGACCCCCGCTATGCAAGCCTGAAGTGGCGATCAATATCGTGCTGCTTAATTTAGCGAGAAACGAAGGACTCGAAATGACAATTCTTTTGTGCGACGTGATGAGGCGGACCTTCCGGATTCAGTACTTTACTTAATACCTAACGTGTAAATACAATACATTGCATATTGTGTGGTGCTTCCGGTTTGCCTTTTGTGTTTATCGCTCAATAGATATCAGCGTTCTAAAAGCACATATTTAAGAAAGGTTAGACGTTCCTAGCTTTGCATAAGCAACAGTATGTAGATTACAAAACAACGTTTGCTCAAAGCACTGTGAATTCTCGACATACTATACTTTGTCCGAATATCGCTTGTTTGCTCTATCGTAATTATAAAGACAGCGCTGTCGATTATCGTCATTCGGTGGGAATATTCTTACCATATAACGCAAGTTAGGTATCATGTTTTTTTTTTACTCGGCTAAAGTGATAGCTATCTCGTCTCAAGCAAACTTATCCTTCGCCCCCACTGATATCGATAGATATCAGTGGGGTGAATCAGACTGGTGGTTTGTGGGCGCGTCTATGGTGACACGGGGCCAGTCAAATGGCTGAGTGAGAGTCGTTGTATGCATAATGCATATACCTCATATATGTATACCTATATTATGAAGGATGTGGTTTTAAATGTAGCTTAAGTGGCGAAGGACTTGTAAGGTATATACTATATAACGTTTTTTTTTTTTTAGAAAGCATGCACAATGCCATAGATAACGTGAATCATGATTGATTACCATGACACATGAATCATGACATGAATCAAGATTCATGCTTCCTATGACAATGCACATGAACAATGCATTTATCATTACGTTCACGTTTATATTTGTACGATATTTAGCCACAATTATAAGTGATGATCTTCGCTGATCTCCCGCATTGTGGTCAAAAGACGCAAGTCTTTTTGTCACCACGGTTCTAGCAGCCACATGCAAACAAACAACGCTTTATCTAAATTACTGTCACATCTTTCTTTATCTCACGACCGATAAGCAGACTCACCCGGTATTTGGCGGGATTAGCGACTCTCTCAGTGACCTCCATGTTCCTCAGCGCGTGGTCGGGACCGCGGGGCGCGGTGTGTCACGCTCCAGCTCAGTCAATAGTTGGTCGGTTACTGCTGGCGACCTTGAGGAGCGTCTGGCGCCGCCGGGAACACAGTCCGGCCGATGACTGGCGGCCCCGCCCCCTGCTGTGAGCGCAGCTGACCCCAGGCGTCGCCACCGTCACCGGGGCGGCGCCGGGCCGGAGACAGGCCAACGCCTGACTTGCTCGATATACCTATTTTCGAGAAATCAAAATTTCAGTCCCCAGGGCCAGGTGCAATGACTTGGTGCCCTCAGAGTGTTATTGTAGTAAACCTAATTACTTATGAGACATTACATCAAAGAATATTAGAACATTATTCAAAAATAAGTTTTAGGAAAGCAGAAAACCTCTTTTAGACTATTGTAAAGCATACCTTTAGAAGTTTTAATTTTCACACCATTTCTTTAGATGCTTATGCAAAATCAATGAAGTTAATGGGAAAAACTGCTGCATCAAAGTATCTCAGACATCTTCCTATTTATGCAGTTGTAACCGTTTAAATAATGCAGCAGCAATATCGACCTAGACACAACGCTGTACCTATCTTGCTGTTGATACACTGCTGACTGTAACACTGTAACTGATAGGTATTTAGCTCATTGCATAGTGTGCAACGAATATTAAAAACGTAGCTTGCATTGCAATATATTTTTTAATTTTATTTTTACTTATCAACACGATGCGCATAAACAATAAACTCATTGTGAATTATGATGATGACTTCATTCCGCCGAATTCAATGCTCTTGAAATAAGCGGCACATTTCGCAGTTGAACCTCATTCTCCGCCTGCGCACTCTGGTTTAAAGCTGCAACAGTTCTGACCTCTGGACATGTCCGTTTATCCCACCGTGCACGCCGCCCGGCCGACCCGGAACCGGGCTGACAGGGGCCGGCGCCCCTGTCAGTAGTACGAGTGTCCGTGCAGGACTGAGAGGGCACCGGGGTCATTCCACCGCCATGAACATCACTGAGAGGGTCTCCACTCCCGTCAAATGCCGGGTGAGTCGGTGCTGACGATGCGCTAGAATGGCGTGGATTTGCTCGTGAAATCTTTTAGTGAACAGCATGTATGGGCATTGGAAATTGTACATAAATGCTTACTTGCCTTATCCATCTCTCGCTGAATGTGTAATGCGCAGCTAACGCGGCTCCGGCTGGCGCTGCTTATGCCAGCTGACGCTTATTGCTGTGACGACTGTCTTCAGTCACAGCTATCGTGACTCCTGGTAATGTGTCTGTCATATCGTGCCTTGAGACGGTATTGTGGGACCAATCGGGGTGAGCCTGCAGATGGCGTCTTGAGGCTTTTTACGATACGTATGAAATAATTGATCTGACTTTCGCCCGACATTGAAAAGCGGATCCTTGTAACAGAACAGGTACATATATCTGCATGTTTTTATTTTGCAAAATATATGCATTGCAATGGATGCACCACCGTGTTGCGTAAAAAAAAAACACACTGAAGATGTTGCTACATACTTATTGCGCCAGCTGAACGTTTCAATTCGGCGCAGCGAACTACGATATCTATCGGCTGACCGCTGACGTATTGTCCGATAAAACGATAAGGACTAAAATGATGTGCCCTCTTCCTGCCGATACGATAATAGTGTCTGTCTCCGAATGCACAGTCGCAATTCGACAGAGAACATAATGTAATGCCTTGCCGTCTTGTTGTAGCGTAAGTTTGATCTACTCGTAATTTAAGAATAATTCTTGCATATCAACAGTCGCACTCACAAATGATGGATGAATTGTGGACCGCCGAAGGAAGGGGACGAAAAGGACGGTGATCTACATACATTAACGGATCATTCAGAAGCCAGCAGAGCTGATGACTTTACTGTCACCGGAAATTAGAGATAAAATAGTAAAAAAAATCACTGAAGAAAGGGACTGCCAAGGCTGTTGGCTTGAATCCCACGACACAGAATGCCACGCCTTCAGGGCGCTAACATAAAACAAAACATACTTGTAGCCACCAATGACAAGCCTCCGAGTTGTGCCATTCCTTTGTCAGGTTCATCTACATGTTCACCTGGAAGGCTCGATGCGCTCATCGACGCTCTGGGACCTCAGAAGGTGAGAACGAACAGTTTGCGACAACAGGTGACATTATAATTTCAAAGCGGTCTTCAAAGTATCGCGATATCTTAACTCGTATAAATTACCAATATGGAACATGCCTCATGTACGCTAGCCTTTCCGAATCTATCGGGAGAATATGCAAGTTATACCTTAGCTATGTGCAACTGCTTCAATTGACCATGGTCTTTGTTATTGCATGTGTCATAGATAACATGAATCATGTTATCTATGCATATGCTAATTTAGCGTCAGCTTTTCAACATCAAGTGATTGCAGACATGTGAAACACATTTCAGACAGAAGAACTTGCCGTTACCTGGAAATGGCGCTTTGAAGGATCTCGAAGAAACCTTAAAGATAAACTCGCCGGGTGATCTGGCGTTCTGCCTGGAGAAATTCCAATGGCTGCTGCCCGCACTTGAGTAAGACATGTTGGCCGAACGGTATCCCTACAAACGGCTTTTGCGACATATAAAGGCCGTACATATAAACGTGAAACGAAGACGTTTCACGTTTTATGGAGTGGGGACTTTGTATGTTTCATTATGAGTGCTTGAATGATTATTATTGTAAGAGTGTCTGGATGTCAATTTATAATATTCATATGTTATGCTGGATGTTACTGCATTTCGTAAAATCATTTTTATTTTGTCAATTTTTTTTTATAATACGGTATTTTATATTCAGGTCATGACAGCTGTTCTCACTACAAGGCATTCTAGGGTATTTTCGCACACCAATAACGCTGAAGCCTGTTTCATTGCAAGTTGCACTACATTTGTCAGTCATTAGTTGCGTGGCATGCAGTTTATGTAATTCAATGCAATCAATTTAGTCCCACTGACTTACTATTTATGTGGTATGACACGCGTCTTGACCTCAGTTTACGCACCGCCGCGTCGCAGGGGGGACCTGGCCGCGATCGAGCGCGTGGCGTTCGAGTTTGTCGAGGACGAGGCTGGTGGCGCGGTGCTGTACACGGAGCCGCGGTTCAGCCCGCGCCTGCTGGTGGGCGCCGGCGGCCAGGTGACGGCCCGCCAGGTGACGGAGGCGGCGCTGCGCGGCCTGGCGCGCGGTCAGCAACAGTTCGGCGTCACCGCCCGCCTCCTGCTCTGCTGCATCAGGGGGATGCCCGGTAGGAAAAGACGTCATGGTGCATGCAATAATGCTTTTATCAGCCGATTTGGTACCGGACTGTTGTTCATGGGAATGATGGGGTTGTGTGTGTTTCGTAGGGCGTTTCGCGCTGACCTCGGTCACCCTTATAACAATTCAGAGATGAGAGAAGTGAGAGCGTCCTTTGATTGTAGATGATTATGCTTGACCTTGCTCGACAGGTAGCCTTATGATGGGACCTTGCTATTTAATATTATATGTGAGGCATGAGCGTCTATTTCAATCGTAAGGGCCATCCGTAAGGTTCATCGACAATACCATGGTGTATTACGACAGTTTGTTTGCTTATGAAGTCACATTTGCCACCGAAACAAGTTCATTTTTCCTCGCCGATCAAACATGAAAATCTATTGAGCACAGCATATGTTAGGGAGCGTTCATTATCGTATATCCGCTGTATTTGCTCCCCAGAGAACTACATGGACACGCTGGACATTTGCACAGAGTACCGCGACAAGGGCGTGGTGGGTATGGACATCGCAGGAGACGAGGCGATGGCCGTGCCAAAGGACGGCGACGGTGAGCATATGCTTTAGCGAATGAATATAGCGAATGAATAGGAAGCGATACAACGTCTTTTGAGTGAATACCAGAGGATGGAGATTCTGAATCGTGTGAAGATATTTCGGGCAAGCCATCGAGCATTGCTATTTAGTATAAAAAAGCTCTCGCAAAATAACAAGCAGGTACGGTACATTCACTGGCGTCCCAGGGGGGGGGGCCACGGGGGCCATGGCCCCCCCCTTTGGTGCTGAAAGGTGGGGCCATACTATCTTTTGGCCCCACCTTTCAGATCGAACAAAAGTCCTAGAAAAGCTTTTTGTATGTTTCATTTTCTTTCTTGCGCCATCAAAGGACGTAAATTTCACTCATGAGTGGGCTAAGTTTCGTATTCTGTCAATTTGGCGGTCAGCGTCGCTGGCACCGGTTCACGAGTATGGCCGCATCTTACATGGAATATCAGCGTGGGTTTACTTGAGGCTCTCGTAGGCCCAGCAATGGCTGGCATGAGACCTCTTCGGCAGTGGCGGGTGGGCCCTGCCAAAGGAGCGTGGCTCTAAGACACTAAAGTAAGACCTCATGGGTTCGTGCTGTGCACCTCAGAAGCCCAGTGGTGACGCCATATGCCGGCTTGGTTTCTTAAGGATTAGCGTGGGATCTCCGGGGCCTGCATAGAGTTTGCATTAGCTAGTATGTAATTTCAGAGGCCTGTATGTAATGTGTACACAGTGGCGGTCGCGGGGGGCATCAGGGCCATGCCCTCCCAAGGCACATAAAGAGGGCCATCATATCATTTGCCCCCCCCCCCCCTCAAGTAACCGATGGGCCCCCATAGGTGTATGGGACCCTGGCCCTGATTCGATCGTCACGAGGCTAAAAAAACACGCCCACACCGGTCTTTGAGCGTCCAACACTGACCTCTGAGGGAACTTCAGTGGCGGTCAAGCGCCCATGTTGACCGCTAAGAGCCCACATCGACCTCTGAGGCCCCACATCTGACCTATGAGGACCCCTTACCGGCCTCAGGGGCCCCAACCGGCGTCTGAGGGTCTCACACCGGTCTCTAGTGGCCTTATTGCTGTCTCTGGTGTCCCAAGACGAACATTTAGGTGCCAATGAGGGCCCCGCATTGGCTGCTGAAGACCCGATGCTGGCCTCTAAGGGCCTGCATTGGCCTCTGAGGAGGGCTCATCTTGGCCTTTGAGGGCCCTCTGCTGGCCTCTGGGTTCCAACGACGGCTCATTCCGGTCTTTTAGGGCCCCACGCTGACCTCTGAGGGCCCCATGTTGGCCTGTAATGAGTAGGACCCACATAAGCCTCCGAGAGCCCAACTCGGTCTCTGATGGTCTCAAACTACTGGCCTTTGCAGTTTGCAGGCCCTGTACTGGTCTCTGAGGGCCCTAAACTGGCCTCTAAGTGAAAACATACATGGGTGGGCTTCTGAAGATCACAGGGCTCACGCAGACTCCTGCACAGCCGTACGTTGGTCCTGATCGAGATTACTTTACGTCCTGATGGTCCCGCGCAGATTCCCTCATATTTCGACGTCGGGACCCCATGAGCCGGTGTGGGTCCTGGGGCTGGCAGAGACTGATGAAGTCCTTAGGGCTCAGGGCCAGTCTTTTTAGCAGTAGGACTATAAGGCAGGCTGAGTGAGCCCCAATAGAGCCGTTGCGAGGCCCCGCGCGAGTCGTGCGCGGCCCTCAGATGCCAGTTTTGAAAACCAGGAACCTGTGGGGCTGGGGGTCTCCAGAGGTCGGTGTACCTATTCTCTCCCGCCGCCAAACAGCTATATGGGTAGATGTCGTAGTCTGAAAATGATCTCTGGGTTTCACATGCTTGTTCAAAGCAAGAGGTACCTATCCGTACTTTTCCGAATTGTTTTATTCTGGTAAGGTCATGAATCCGCGTGCCCGACCCGACCTTCCAGTATATGCTACACCGATCCGTCGCCGTGGTGCAGTGGCCCGACCGGTGGAAACACCGTGGGACGGGAAATGGAACTGGTGCTTTTGCCTTAAATGCTTAAAGATTTCACCCAAGAATGAGGTGGATGAAGCATAAGTAATGCCAACTGCGCGGCGCCTCGTGGACGTAAAAAATTAGCCGATCACCCCCCCCCCAGTGACTGATAAATGTTATGTCCCGCGAGTGTGACTTTGGCCCCCCCTTTTGCGAGCGGCTGCGACCGCCAGTGGGTACATTCTCACATACTTAGCTAACAAAATGGTGCTCCTATAACTTCCTAGCTGTCGCGTCCCTGATATTCCACTTGCTCTGCAATTTATAGGCATGCGTGGTGCTATAACAAAAGTGCGCTGATGTCTGCTTTGCTGCACATGTGTTTAATTTTTCACAGCCGCCAGCTGCATACAAAGCTCAGCGGCAGAGTTGGCAGTGTTCCAGGAGGCGGCCCGGCGCGGGATCCACCGCACTGTTCACGCCGGGGAGATGGGCCCAGCCTTCATGGTGCAGATTGTAAGTGTGATAGCACGGTATACATATAACCACCATACAGCTTGGCCAATCTTCAAGCTTCATCGTCCAGCCGAAAAATGGTGAATGTGGTTATTTACAGCAATGAAGTTGCCCTCTACATCATCAATACGTATGCGCACAACTCAAAAGACGTAATTGAGGCGTCTTGAAGCGCTATTTACGTGCTCCACCATGCTTTAAATCTGACGGAAAGAGTTTCATCGTGTCCTTTCTTTGCTCATCCTAGCAAGGGGAACACCAATATGAAGGAACTCTTTTTTCCATTTTGAGATAAGTACGTATGTGCTACAGGCGCTCGATAAGATGCACGCCGAGCGGATCGGTCACGGCTACCACGTGCTGGAGGATGAGGAGCTGTATAGACGCTGTATCAAGGAGCGCGTCCACTTCGAGTGCTGTCCCTCCTCCAGCTATCACGCCGGACTAGTGCCGCTCACACAAACCAAACATCCCATTCAAAGGTGACTCTTCAATTCATAAGAACAAAGCCGTACTTATTTGAAAATTATATAAAAGATCACTTTCTGTGATATGAGGTTATCGGTGGAGCCAACAAATAACTATGTAAATGAAATTACTTTTGCTGACGTTTCGATTCCAAGGAACCTTCGTCAGAATTACAAGTTAAAATGTAAAAAACCGTATCAAAGTGCACATATTTTAAGCACACTGCGACTGAAAACATGTCAGTTTTCAGTCGCAGTGTGCTTGAAATATGTGCATTTTGATACGTATGTTTACATTTTAACTTGTAATTCTGACGAAGGCTGCTTGGAACCCGAACGTTAATAAAAGTAATTTCATTTAGTTATTTGTTGGCTCCAGCGATAACCTCATAACACAAATATGTCCTTACATAATCGGCATCACTTTCTGTCTAGTGTATATTTAGTTTTTTTTTTTAGCTGTTACAGCAATAATAAAATGCAATTGAATGTTTGATTTCAGGTTCTGTGAGGACGGAGCCAACTTTTCAGCGAATTTGGATGACACAATCATCTTCCAGTATTCTTTCGAGGACGAACACACCCTTTTGCGTCGTATGGGCTTCACCGAGGCTAACTTCGCCTCCATGGTAAGGATGCCGTCGAGTGCCGTGATGATTGTATGGCCTTGGCCATGATGAAGTTTTTCGCTGTCTTGCTCTTCTGGCGCTGTTTATCGTTGGAAAAAAAAAACATCAGGTGAAAACCTTATAAGCTTGCTGTCCTTAACCTGTGGGATGTGATGATGATATTTGGATCTCGAACTGAGTATTCCTTTGGTGTGTAGTGTATTGCTAGTTACTCTGATAAAATAAAAACTGTTATTACAAGGTTCCTATCTTAACCAATTATATGTAAGGTAAGTGAGGCATGAAGAGGCTGGTTTTTTTTCGTTTCAGAACTTTAACGCAGCTAAAGCCTGCTTCCTACCTGAAGACGAGAAAAAGGAACTGCTGAAGACACTGCTCAAAGCTCATGGTGTTCCTGACGTCATGTAGCATTACTTTACGTGTGCGTAATTACCCAATCTTCGGGCAACTCACATATTGTGAATGGAAAATGAAATAAACTTTTAACATGGGCTTTGAACGAAACAATTTTTCCTGCATGCTGGGGATGCCTTTAGTATGTACAGCACAAACCGGGCAGTAGGGTAGCCTGGGGCAAGACGCCCCAGATAATTTATTTTGCTACATAAATTTTGTCCCACATCACCTAAAAGGCCGAATTTGTGCTCAATGCGTTCTTTGGACATTTTACTTTAAATTGCACCCCTCAAATTGATTCACTTATGATCGGACTCCAAGCTAGGAAGTGATTTGTGAAGCAACTGCAAATGGGGCATTTTGCCCCAACCCCAGGGCAAAACGCCCCACGGCCTGGGGCAAGTAGCCCCATACCTTAGATTAAAGATTTAACATGGTAGTTGGCTAAATCTTATGTGAGAGGTCCGTTAGACCTCTGGAGGCACGGCACTGAAGTTAGCACATTCCACCCTGTCAGGTGCTCAGCATATGACACTGTTGTATGAGCAGGTTTTTCACCTAACTCATAAGACCAAATAATAAATTATTGCAATGCAAATGTTAACAAAATACTTCCTTTGCCATCCAGTTGCTGAGGAAAATACACATAAAGGCATAGAAACTTACTGTTCGCCAGCTACCGAACATTAGAAAGTGGGTAGCCCCAACAACACAAGAGGTAAAACGCCCCAGGGGCTTTTTGCCCCGCGACCTACTGGGGCGTTTTACCCCATCACGTAGTTCGGTCAGAGAACAACGCCTTGCACTCCAGTAAGACATAATTTAACACGAACCAACCCGGCATGATAAGCGTTAGACAATAGTTGTTCAAAATACATAAAAGTCGTTAACCTAATGTGGACCATAAAAGAACGCCATGATTCATAATCTGACAACAAAACATAAAAATCACTCAAAAACACATTTTTGGCTATATCTCCCGAAAGAGTCATCACAATTTCTTTCCAGTCTGCTCATATAATGATCATATAGTGCACGTTTTATAGAAGAGATGATGTTTCCCCAGAACCTTGCCAGTTCCGAGAAACATCGGTGAGGCGTTTTACCTCGGCGGGGCGACTTGCCCCGGTCTACCCTAATATATATTTTTTCTAACCGTGGTAACAGTTTCCAGTTTTTGATTAAATGTCAGTTGATAAAACCAGCTGGCGTCAAATCCTCAACAAGCTGTTGCTACCTATAGTAGATCTTCATGCATTTATGTGCATTGTACAATGTCTGAGAACGAAACCCCTTGCTATAAGCGTGCTGTTGGATGTTATCACAATAAAATACACGGTAATGTTGACAATTTGAGACTTTGAAATATAATGAAATAAAGAGAGGCCAAACATACCAAGATTGATGCAAAATTACTGGACACAAGCCTTCCAAAATATGATGATATACCACAATACCATTTGTTTCTTTAAACACGGTGATACATGCATTTATTTAGATAAATGTGATCTGCAGTATTGTAAGAAAACTTCAAATATACGAGACAGAGAGGATTCTTCATGGCTCCGAGTGGAAGATAAGGATATCTTTTCCAAGCGGGTTACTGAAAAACCGAGCGACGAAGGAGCGAGGTTTTTCTGTAACACGCGAGGAAAAGATATCCGATCTTCCATGAGTGAGCCATGAGGAATCCTATATCTTTCTATGTTGAAGTTTATTCCTAATTAATTGAAAATTATATTTAAAGAGTAGTTTGTTTTTATTTCATAAGTTTCATACATAAATAGCCATTAAAAATGCCGTTCGGTTATTGACCCATCATCAGTTGAACTCTTGATTTTTGGCTATGAACCCTCGAGACCTTATCTTTGCATCTCAGAGAGATGCAGAGATAACAAATTCTTATCTTTGCATCTCAGAGGAGTGCGAGATAGAAATATCCCTGCACTGTAGACCCAATGGCAAATAAACCTCAACTAGAAAGATAATGTTATCAGTCATGCAGTGCTAAAAAACACAACAATTTGTGCAAATAGTTTCACCGGAAATCTGAAAATGTTGAGTTCCGATGAACCATTCGCCGAAACTCTGCGTCAGCGGACAACCGATGGGCTGTCAGCCAAGTTCACCGAATCCGGGTCTAAATTTCCACACCGCTGCCACGCTCCTGGGGAAGGGGGCTGACGCTGAAGGGAGTAACTATATGCATTTGACGAGCGACACCTACGGGGTCGTGCGGCAAAAACTTTCTCTGTCCGCGGGCGCCACTGCAGCGACACCTGCCGTGTGGCTCCAACACTATTGGCTCAGTCTGTGCGCCCACGCCGTGCCGCGAACACTGATCCTACACATTGTTCAGCGTTCTTACTTCTTGTCTTTCCGATTGTAGTTGGACCACATCTGGTGAGTTCTCCCCACGTGGTGGGTGCATTACGCCGAGATGGCCTGGCTGGGCCGTGGTGTCGTATTTTTATGTTCGCCCAGTGGGCTCGCGGCACTGGCAGCCGGCTCTCAGTTAGGAACTGCCAGACCAAAGTACCAGTCGCTGGCTGTTTTATATTTTTTTTTCTATCATTGCCTCTAGGGCCCTTGCCGCAGGTTCCTGCACCACCGACAACTGTGGTGTCCCCTACGGCCGCAGGGGCGCGCCGCGGCCCGCGATCGCGTCGTCGGCCATAGCGCGTTTGCGCCGGCGACCGTATACGCAGTTACGCTCGTGCCGCAATTCAGGGAGTTACGTCTTATGCTGCCACCAGACTGCTAGCCTCGTATCTTGTTGTATTCATCGCCCTGTCCACGCGCATGACCTAATGTCTCTGTGCACCCAAGGCCAAGCCACCCTGACGCCATCTTGGCGGGTCCGAGCAGCAATCGTGTGACCTCTACCCAGCGATCGCGTGATCGTGACGTCAGCGGTAGGTGTGGACACCTCCAGCGCTGGTGGCGCCGCGGCGGCAGCGACAGCAACTGCTGGTAGCCACGTGGCCGCCAGCGGCGCAGGCGCGGGCGTGTCATTACGTAACCGTCATCCGCGCCGTGAGGCGGCCCGGGTGATTCACCCGCCGTGTCGTCAGCTGACCGTGACCGTGGCCTAGCGGCCTTTGGCCCGGCGACCGGACCGCAGGTCCGCAGCTGATTGGGGGTCGTCTTGCACCGGGTCTGCAGCGGGCCATCTGGGCTGGAGTCAGGTCACTGCTGGCTGTATGCCACTCTGTGGGAAGCAGCGTTAGTCGGTCACAATTTGGCCAGACGTGTACGCAATCGTGTATGCCTGAGAGGCAGCGTTAGTCGGTCACAGATTGGCCTGACGTGTACGCAACCGTATATGCCTGGGAGGCAGCGTTAGTCGGTCACAGATTGGCCTGACGTGTACGCAACGGTGTATGGGCTGGAGTCAGCTCACTGCTGGCCGTATGCCACTCTGTGGGACGCAGCGTTAGTCGGTCACAATTTGGCCAGACGTGTACGCAATCGTGGATGCCTGAGAGGCAGCGTTAGTCGGTCACAGATTGGCCTGACGTGTACGCAACCGTATATGCCTGAGAGGCAGCGTTAGTCGGTCACAGATTGGCCTGACGTGTACGCAACGGTGTATGCCTGAGCTGCAGCGCTAGTCGGTCACAGATTGGCTGGACGTATACGCAACCGTGTATGCTATATCGGTTTCGTCCGCGTCCCACTCTGGGAGCGTCCAGGGCTTACGTAATTTTGTTTTTCTCATTGCAGGCATGCTCGTCGTAGGGGACAGCTATGCTGTCCACCTCCCCCGCCGCTGTTCGCCCCACCTTGCCGTGGCGGCGGCCGGTGTTCGCGGAGGCTGCGTCAATGACGACGGCTTCAGGCGCTGGGCCATCCGGGCCGCAGTTCGTGCCCGTCCTCGCGTGGTCACGCTCGTGGCGGGCGGAAATGACCTCGCCAGAAGGGACTGCCGCGTTCAGCGGTGGCTCGCCAACCTCCAGGAACTGACGCTCGGGCTCCTGGCAGCCGGAGTCGTTCGCGTCTATGTGCTGCCCATCCCTCCGCGCACAGGCTTTCCATCCAGCGGCGTGTCGGCGCGAATTTTCCGGCGGCGGCGCTGGGTGGCCAACAAACTGTTGCGCCGCCTTTTCCGCCAACCGCCGGTGCTCCTGCTCCACTTTGTGCCGCCACCTGACTTTCTGGCGTCGGATGGGGTTCATCCGTCCGCGGCCGGGTGGCGCACCCTGGAGAGCGTGCTACAGGAGGCTATGGACGCCTCCTCCGGGATTTAGCGTGTACCGGGTCGCTCCCGTGCTGTGTCGTGTGTGTCCCCCCCCCCCTCCTAACCGGCTGGCCGTTTAAATACACATTCCCGCTAACATCGTCGTCTATTTTCATGCGTTCGGAGCTGCTATGCCACGGGCCAAGTCGTCGGCGGGCCGTGCCCCGGCACGCCCCCTGCCAGCGCCACGGACGGACGCGCCGCGACGCGCCACTACGAGACGCTCCGCGGCGGCCGCGGCCGCGTCTGGCGCTGGTGCCACGAGCCGCCGCACGCCCGCTGCTGCGGCGAGGCGACAGGCCGCAGTGATGGCCACCACTCCGCCCAATCCAGGGCGGGGCCATGCTGCTACAACGTCGGCCGCCGCCGCCTCGCCCCGGCGAGCATGACATTGTGAGGAACTATCGCTTCATCGGTGCTGGTCGTAAATTTAATTAGAGATTTAGCGTAACATAAGCGTATGACAAACCGTGTTCTGTGGTAATAATTAAACGGAATATCAGCGTCTCTAGTTTTGTTGTTTAATCTTCTGAACGTCTTCTACATCCAGACGGTTTTTTCTATCCACCATGCATCCACTTCCAGTGCCCGCGACAAAGCTATTGGTTCTAAGCAGTCATGTCGAACTGAGCCACGGCAATAATCAGTGTCATGATGTCCTTCATAGTTTGGATAAAGAGGCTCCTGTCCAGGATGAAGTATCCGTTCATGTTCATGTGGACCTGCTGTCCATCCAGTTTGGCCAGGAGGACCGCGTAGTCTGGGTCGTCGTCGGTCCGGCTGCTGGCCAGGGTGTGGCCTCGCACCAGTTCGGCGGCCCTCTGCGCCCGGCGCACCACACGGTCACCGGCGTTGGTGGTCAGCTTCAGCAGCAGCAGCGGCACCAGCGAGGCCAGCCGCTCCAGCCAGACGAGCACTGCCGAGCCCACGCCCACTTCTCTCTGGCCGCTCCGTGCGCGCAGGTAGATGTCCAGAGACAGGTCCAGCGCCATCGTGTAGATGCAGATGGTGAGCAGGCCGCCGAACGTGCGGCAAAACACGCCGGCCAGCTGGCAGAGCTGACCGTGCTGTCGCACCAGGCGCCGCAGCTGCGGGATGTTGTTCCGGCTCAGCGCCACCCGCAGGCGCCGGCTGACCCCGCGGAACGCGTCCGCCAGACTCAGGCACGAGCCGTCCATGATCATGAGCCATACAGCTGTGCCATTGGCCATGCCGCACATGTTGATGATCAGGGCCACTTGAAACCAGACTGGGAAGCTGCTAAAAACTTCCTCCATGTGGAATGTGTAGAATGTCGTCAAGGCAACCATGAGCCCTACGTAATTACGAACGTACCGTGTGGCGTTGGGCAGCTCCAGTGGGTAGAAATTGTTTTCATATTGAGAGCATGCTTTGAAGTAAACTTCCAAATGGCGAGCGTTAGACCATACCCATACAACCATCCAAAACCATTTCAGCGGAAGGATCAGAAAACGTAGAGCAGAGAACACCTGCAGGGCTGATCCGAACGTGAAGAAGGTCTTTGGGTAGCTGACGAATGCGGCCGCCCCGAGCGCCAGCAGCAGAGCGGAGATGAGCGCACTGCGCACCGCGGCCGTCGAGAGCGGTCTCCAGGTGCCGTCCGAGCCGGAGACGGGCACCACGCCGCACACAGAGCCCAGCAGCAGGGCGGGCCGCAGCGCGCGCAGAAACGCGCCCGGCCGGCCGCCTGCGGAACAGCGCCCCGGCCTGTCAGCTGGGCGCGCCGCATACCGTGCACACTGCACACCGCTCAGTCCAGAAAAGAAATAAAGGGAGAAATAATCAGCTTTATTTACGATTATTCATAATTTGAAACGCTTTGGGCATTGCCTTTCTATCCCAGCAACTACCAGCAACAAACAAAAATCAAGGAAAATAGATTGCAAAGATAGAAGTGCGTACCTTGTGGGAGTGCTGGTTTGCTCATCGCGAAGAGTCCGGCCTGACGGTTCGAGTACAAGACGGGGACACTGCCGACGCGATCTCTCATGTCCGTCTATGGCCCCGTGTGACCTGTGGTCTGCGTCTTTGTGCCGCGGTCGATAGTGTGTTTGCGCACCAGAGCCGATGCTGTCAGGCCGGGCTGACTCCTGTCAGAATACGATGACTGCAATGGCAGTGCTGACACCATCCACTGGTAACACCTTGGCTGTTCAGCCATTCATCAACGTGCCTGCGTATACCGGGCAGCAAGACAGGTGGCTTGTAAAGCTGAATGCATAACTTTGCTTGGCAAACACGTCTGCATCTCGAGTTTGATAGAAATGTGGACACACGTTGCGCCATTTTGTGAATAGAGCGTTTTGCCCGGAACGAATGAAAAGGTGTCATCTTGTCGTTGAATAGTAGCGCTTTGAAACGTAAAGTAATTGGATGGATGGTAGTGAGCACTCGGAATAAGACCTAATAACAGGAAGTTACAAGGAATTTCTGTAACGATGGAGCTGATGAATTCAGAGTAGGTACTAGAAAATAGGACCTTCTCTTTGCTTTTTCTTTCATTATCTATATTTTTTTCTCGGCATTATGTTTGCAAAACATGCAATAGCATAGCAGGTATCAAAGCACGTATGGCATCGTAAAAGATGTAACAATACGGTACGAGCCACCGCTCTTCAACATTTTTTTTTTTTTAACCCTGAGGGGTGAAAGCAGCACCACTCTACGAATGGGGCCGAGCTGGTGATACTGACCGGCCCGAGTTGAGTGGGGACGCGGAGGGCGGGGGCGGGTATATAGGCGGGATGTCAGCGGTCCGGAGCGGGATGGCCGACGGCCCGCCCGCGGAAGTCAGCCGGACGTGCTGTGGCGGTACCGCGCCCTCTCACTTCCGGCCGGCCGGGCGGGGCGGGGCGGGGCGGGACGGGCGGGCGGCGGAGCCCCCGTCGCACCTGTCGCAGGCCCAGTGAGCGCCGCCCGCCCGCCGTGTCTGCCCCAGCCGGCCACCGGCGGCGGCAGCTGCCCGAACCGCCCGCATCAGTGCAGAGTGGATCGGGTGGGCAGGTCACGAGCGAGCAGCTGGGGTGCAGAGAGCTCCCAGCAGCACGGGCAGTCGGTCTGGCCTGTTGGAACCGAAACTGCTCCCTGCGAGAGGTGCGTGGAAGCAGCGACCCGGCTTGGCTAATCTGTGGGCACTAGGGCTTTGGAGAAATAAGTGTGGGAAGTTTGTGTGCTCTGAAACTGAAGACTGGTGATTTAAAGTGATTAATGTAAACACAGCTTTGGTAGTGAGATGACCTGTGAAGGCACTAGGCTCTTGTTCAAACGAACCGGAAAGAGGAAACGAGCGAAGAAGCTAGTGATGGACACGGGTCAGCTTCGGCCGGGAGACCGGTGCCGTGACCGTGACCCGGCTGCCCGTGTACAAAGTGACTGTGTGACAGCTCGCGGGACAATATGTGGTGTGCAAGGTGCCGCGGAGGCTGCGAGGGCCCGAGAAAAGGACTGCTTAGTGTGGACTCAGCCTGTGAGGAGGGGCGCTGTGAGGACAGCCGTACAGCTCTGCCGAGTAGTGACCGTATTTGGTTTGTTGGTGGTTATACTGCCGGGAGTTACGGGTCAGGGACGCACTGCTCCGATCATCACCATACGACAGGGATCGCTGGAAGGGGTGAGTATCATTTCTCCGCTCACAAAACGTCGAGCAAACTGCCGAAGGATTGGCAACTCATGACGTGGTGTGATGTCACAGCCTGATCACGGTCAAAATCATGCAGTTTATTTATCATACTGCATCGTCCAGACAGAACCGTCATCCAGAGCCGTCAAAATCATAAAATTCTAGAGAATCGGAATATTTAATTTTATATGCATTTTAATTCCTACAGGATTCTTAGTTTTCTTCATTTTCAATCGGTTTATATCATATTGTGATCTAGGTTGGTATGTAATTTAGCGTTATTGACGAGATTGGATAAAATGGTTACACAGAATTTCGTGTTACGCTGTTTTTTTTTTTTGCTTCTGGTCATCTTTTACTTGAGCTTGTTTATCCGTCGATAAGGCGCACTGAAAGATGCCAGTTGTTTGGCCTCACTCACGTGATGTCTTTTCAGGTTCGGGAGTACGTGGACCCTCGCCAGAGGCCAGTGTTTTCTTACAAGGGCATTCCATACGCCACTCCGCCGGTGGGAAGCCTCCGATTCAAGGTGAGAAACGCTATGTTATATACTTTAAACTACGATAGTACTCACGCCTTTATCAAATAAATGAACATTGCCTTTCGTATGGAGTGATGGTCGTTTTTATGATGCTCTGAATTTTCATGAATGTCATGCTTTCCCGTATAACCAATTAAAGCGTTAAAACGTTTTATAAATGAAATCATGACCCTACCCTATTATTCAAAGCTCCTGCAATCTATAAGTGTATTTTCTTCTTCCGATGTTGGCAGCCGCCGGTTCGCGACTATGGATGGAACCGGACCCAGCGGTTCGACCGGTTCGGACCCGAGTGTCCCCAGCTGGACGTCCAGGGAGTGCCCGAGCCGGGCGTCTCGGAGGACTGTCTCACGCTCAACGTCTGGATACCGCAGGTAGGTCCTCATTCAACGTCTGGATCCCGCAGGCAGGTCCTCACACTCAACTCCTGGATCCCTGAAATGTGAAAGTAAATGCAGTGAAGATCTGACGTAAATCGTTACTCTAGACTCGTCAGAAAATCGTTAATCGTGAATCGTGAATCGTTAAATCGTCATATATTTAGAATTTAAATCGTTTTTAACGTCAACTTGTTACTTAAGATTTAGCGATAAACGATTTACAATTAATGATTTTATGACGATTCTACAGTAACGGTTTACGAAACATTTGGCTGCATTCACTTTCCTGCCTAATTTCATCAACATCCCGAAAATAGGATCTCACAGATATAGGTCACATCAGCAATGCCATACAAGCACATGCGGAACTTTATATACTGTGGTGGTTGTAGCTACAACCCCAATTTTTAAAAGTACAACCCCAATGGCAAAACTACAACCCCAACATTGGAAAATTAAGAATCAGCCTAAAACACATGAAAATGAACAAAATATGTATCATACAGAAGCAGATAATCGAGAAATATCAAGAAAGTGAAGATATCAATAAAAAGTAGGACATCTTTTTGAATTCCAGATGCTAAAAACATTGAAAGGGCTCTGTTAAGAACATACTATTCCGCTGAGACAGTGAGCATATGAAAGTTAATCACTTCACACTTCTTAAGCATACCTACTACGTGAATCATATTGAAAGTGTTCCAAAAATCTTAACATGTAACATGAAAGTGTGAAGCAAAAAAATCAAACCATTCATCATACTTTTGCAGTGATGACTCCAGCTTAGAGTTTTTTTTTTTTTTGAGGGGGCAAACCATAACAATTTATCGATTCTTTCCATGCCTCGTCCATAGGCATACTGTTAAAATTATGCCGTTTGGGAGGGGCAAATGCCTATTTTGCCCCCCCCCCTGGATCCGCCCCTGTACTTTTGGGTTTTCTCACTAAATATTTCATACCTGTGGGCTGTGCTTATCAAATAGATAAGCGTAGATGAAAAGTTTGACACATAAGCTTCAGAAATAAATCAACCTACCCTTAGCCTTCACCCCATGTAGCATTCTATCACCATAATCTGACCGTAATATTGCGTGTCAACGACCACAGAACGCACAATCAAAATACATTTCTTAAGTGAAATATCACTCTGTTCGCAATTTTGTCAGTTGGCACAATACCACCAATCAGCACGAATATTTGGCTAAAATGACGACACTTAAAACCAACGTTGCCGACCATAAAAACCAATCCTGTGCGATAATTAATGCTGATAATCTTACTGACAGGTTCGCGAACAGAATGCAAACTAAGTCACATGTGAGCCAACATGACGCATCTGATACAAATGCAAGGTTTTGGCGACGTCTGTCAATTCAGCAGCAACGAATATCAGCCTCACAGCAGCATATTTCGGGGACTTTCGATTTGGCTGAAAATCGGTACCCAGGGCCTCCTTGATGCGCTGATTCCGAAAATATACCTCTTTGGGGTGGTATTTTGCACCGTTAACGAGTTAACGACAAATTAACATTTTAACGGGAAACGGCGGGGTCTTTCGATTTGGCTGAAAATCGGTATACAGGGCCTCCTCGATGCGCTGATTTCGAAAATGTACCTCTTTGTGGTGGTATTTTGCACCGTTAACGAGTTAACGACTAATTAACATTTTAACGGGAAACGGCGGGGTCTTTCGATTTAGCTGAAAATCGGTGTACAGGGCAACCTCGATGCGCTGATTCCGAAAATGTACCTCTTTGGGGTGGTATTTTGCACCGTTAACGAGTAAACGGCCAATCAACATTTCAACAGGAAACGACGGGGTCTTTCGATTTGGCTGAAAATCGGTGAACAATGGCCTCCTCGATGCGCTTATTTTGAAAATGTACCTCTTTGGGGTGGTATTTTGCACCGTTAACGAGTTAACGACCAATTAACATTTTAACGGTAAACGGCGGGGTCTTTCGATTTAGCTGAAAATCGGTGTACGTTCAGTGTCTCAGGGGCAGACAGACAAGCCGTTATGTGTTCCTAGCCATCGTGGCTGTGAAGAGCATGCGTTTTGTTTACGATTCGCCAAACAATGCATAATACATTTACTCGTTGAAAAAAGATAATCTATTTAATGGTGATATGAAAAGGCTGTGGCATTTATTATTTAATTTCCTCAGGTTGAGATTATTTAGATCCAGTGTTAGGTTCTTTTGCGGCATTGTGTTCGGTATGTTGTTCTCGTTTGCAAAATATATCATGTCTGATGAGACAAATTTGAGGAAATCTATTCCTGATAACATGCTCCAAGTCCCCGGGTATAGACTATTCCGGAGAGATCGTATCATCGGCAGGAAGAAGTCGGGAGGAGGAGTTGCAATGTACGTCAGAGAAGAGATGCAAGCGGAGACGGTGAACCCGAAACAATCGCCCGGAGAATCTCATCTGGAGTCACTGTGGCTAAAAGCAGCGTTACCGCTGGCGTCTCGCTGGTTTCCCCAGATTCTCACGAAAATTTCCCTTTTTTAAAAATCATTTCCCTAGATGCGGTTATTTTCATGGAATTTGATGTACTTTCCTCATTTTAACCATTCGTGTTATAGTCAGTAGCGGCGGAACACCTTCAATTAAGGGGGGGGGGGCACTGACGACTTTTGGTCCCATCTTTCCATGCAACGCCCATAGGGCTAATGTTAAAATGCCAAAATCAAAGGGGGCACGGTGCTCCGGTGCCTTCCCCGTTCCGCCGCTTATGGTTATAGTCGGCGTCCTAAAACAGCGATTAACTACAATCTGTTACGTTAACGTAAGAGATTCTGATGAAATTGCTGGCATATAACAAATTACTGTATGTGGTATAATATAATTGTGTGATATATCGCAAATTGTGGTGTGTTGCAGGACGCGGGAAACTGCCGTATGGGTAGCGGTAGTGCTGGCGTAAGAGACGAGTCGATGCATTATTTTGCACCGTCAGTTTGACCGAATGGGAGTGATATGCGCTAGACATTGTATAAATTGCGCCAAAACAAAAACTTTGATGTAAAAAATTAGCCGCAACCGAAATGGAACAACGCAGAACTGCAGGCAAAAACAACAATTTTTCGGGCTGGTGGCATTTCCCTAGATTTCGTGTGAAATCCATATATCCCTAGATCTTCGCTGATTTCCATAGAAAAGGGAAATTTCCCTAGCAGCGGTAACCCTGGCTAAAAGTCAAGCTGGACAAGAGGAGGGTCACCATTCTGGGCGGTCTATATCGCCCGCCGTCTACAAATCCCCGACAAGTCCACGCTGACTATAGCCATCTTGAAGAAGAGCTCCAGGCGATCATCACTGCGCACCCATCTAACCGCATCATCCTGGCTGGTGATATGAACTCAGACTCCAAAACCAGTCCAGTAGCACACTCTCGATTGCAAGAACTAGGCAAATATGGCTTGCATTGCCAGGTTAACGAGCCTACCTTTGTTCGAGGCGACACAAAATCAATTCTAGACGTGTTCATGCTTTCTGACGCATTGTGTAGTACAAACTGTCCACCAAGTGTCTCTGTCGATGTATGTGATTATGCCGCGCACCACAAACGCGTATCGTTGTTAACCATCATCCCACGGGCCAAAACAGCGTCACAGTATCGCACGGGTCGTAACTGGCGTGCTTTTGATGCACAGGCATTCATTGCGGACTTACAGTCCACTGATTGGAATTGTGTCGTAAAAAGCAATGACTCATGCGACCAGCAATGGAGTTCTTTCTCTTCTGAAATGACGCGTATTTTGAATGTGCATGCCCCACTGCGTAGGTTTAAAGTAAATAACCCATCACCTCCCCCAGTATCTGATGAAACTCTGGATCTGATGAATCAAAGACGATTAGCAAAATCAACCGGTGACAATCTGACCTATAGGACTCTCAACGCTCAGGTTAAAAGGGCCATCAGAAGAGATGTAAGGGAAAGTATCAAACAAAAGGTTGACGAATCGTCACCTGCGGCACTATTTCATCACCTGAAACCAGTCATAGCGCCAAAACGTGGTCGCCGTGTTGAACCAGCCAATATCTCTTCAGACGAACTTAACAGTTATTTTACGTCGATCGGCACGCAAACCAGAGAGAAGGTGATGAGAGACTTTCGGAGTTCCGGAATGGAAAAACTCAACGTTCGCTTGCCTTGTGTTAACGCGCCGGTGCCCTCACGCTGACGCCTGTGACTTTAGATCATCTTAAAGCTGTTATATTCAGTATGCCAAACAAAAATTCCAGCATTGAAGGAGATGTGCCACTCAAAATTTTGAAGTTAAGTTTTGGAGTAGTAGGCAGATATTTGTTGCGCATAGTGAATACAAGCATAGTGACGGAAACTGTACCAGATGGATGGAAGAAGGCAGAGGTGCTACCCTTGCACAAAAGAAATGACCCCTCAGAAGCGGCGAATTTTAGACCCATAACCATTGTGAGTGTCATTTGTAAGATCATTGAAAAAATAGTTCACACCCAGGTGACTAGTTATCTGACTCAGCAACATTTATTCACCATCGATCAGCATGGCTTTATGCCAAATCATTCCACGGCAACGGCACTCGTATCAATGACTGACGAAATTTTGAAAGGTATGGACAATTCGGAAATTTCATTGCTAGCTCTTTTAGATTTAAGTCGGTGTTTTGATGTGGTCGATCATAGTACTATTCTTGAAAAATTGAGTCTCTTACAGATTAGGACAGGGTGGTTCAAGAGCTACCTCGAGGGACATACTCAGAGGGTAAGGATCGGCGACGAATTATCAGAACCCTTACCGATATCGATGGGATGCTTCCAGGGCTCAACGTTAGGAAGTTTATTGTTTAATATCCTAAGCAATGACATCGCATGTCACATTCCGTCTTCTGTGAACGGTTTCCGAGTAACTTTAATCAGGTATGCGGATGATACTCAGCTAGCACTAACCGGGTCGAGACACAAAATTCGGGATATGCAGTGTGCTATGGAAGACGTTTTAGGTA